GCAGGGGAGTGGAGACCCAGGGACCAGGAGAGGTGAGCCAGGCTAAGCCGGGAGGTTTTCAGGCCCAGGAGGTAACAGCATCCAGCTGGGATTTAATAACACGGCTTGGTTTTCATTACCTTTGTTTATGGCCTGCCTTCCATTTTGAAAATGATGCAGGTTTGCCATTTATAACTGTGATATAAGGTTTCCTTTATAAATAGACCTGTTTAATGAAAAGAAATAGGAGCACATATAAAGAAAAATGCTGAGTAAATAATTGTACAGGTGGTGAAGGAATATGCCAGAAATCATAAACCTCTCTCTTTCTCACCTCAAGCAGGTAACCAAGGTCTGCAAACTCTGCTGCCCTCCCCTCCCCTTCAGTTCCATCCCCCCTACACCCTCCCAACGCCTGCCCACACTGCCCCACCACACACACAAAGGTTTCTGTGATTTCATCGAGAGAGGGTTCTCATTGGTCCTTAGAAATAGCAATAGTGGCAATAAGAATATCACCTTACATTTGCATATCCCTTTGTAATTCCAAAATGCTTTTCTGTGCATGGGCTCATTTACCCAAGAAATAAAAGCCTCTGCTCCTTAAAAGGAAAAAAGAAAGAAAAAGAAAGAAAGAAAGAAAGAAAGAAAGATCCCCACCCCCATATGATTCTTCCTTCAATTCACTAACCAACCAACATCCCTACCCCCTCCATCCAAACTCTTCCGCAGTGGGTGTCCTTGAGCGGCAGGAGGCCCAGCCTGGCCCCACAACTCTCATCCTTCCTCCCCAGGGTCTGCCCCTGCCCCAACCCTCTGGCGTGGGATGGAATGTGCTCTTTGCAAGGTTTCTGAAGCCTTGCAATGAACTCTACCAACTGTTCAAACTGCAACCACTACTCAGCCTTGATTTAGACGTCTCTTAAAAAGGGCTGGAGAACAAACAAACAAAAAAACACACACAAACAAAAAGACAAATAGCCCAACTAAAAAAAAAAAAAAAAAAAATGGGCAAAGGATTTGAATAGAACTTTCTCCAAAGAAGATACACAAGTGGCCAATGAGCACATGGAAAGGCGCTCATCATCATTAGGCATCAGGAGATGCAAATCAAAACCACCGTGAGATACCACTGCACGCCCACTGGGCTGGCCCAAGTCAAACATACAGTAAGTGTTGGTGAGACGCAGAGAAGCTGGAACCTCACACAGCGCTAGGGGGGATATTAAATGGTGTGACCACTTGAGAAAAGAGTTTGGCAGGTTCTCAAAAATGTGAAGGGCCAAGATGGAGTCACTTGTGCTAAGCCCCCCATCATTAAACCAAGACTGACTCACAGTTTGGCTCTCCCAGAAACGGAATCTTAAAACCAGTCCATCAGGAATCACCTAATCAGCACCAGTGAGGTCTTCTGCCTGATACCTCCTTGCCATCCCCTAAAGCAGCGGTTCTCAACCTGTGGGTCGCGACCCCTTGGGCGGTCGAAGACCCTTTCACAGGGGTCGCCTAAGACCATCCTGCATATCAGATATTTACATGACGATTCATAACAGTAGCAGCATTCCAGTTATGACGTAGCAACGAAAATAATTTTATGGTTGGGTCACAACATGAGGAACTGTATTTAAAGGGCCAAAAGATTGAGAACCACTGCCCTAAAGGAAGGTGACCTTGCCACAAACAACCGGTGTTTCGCTAATATAACTTCCTTGTTCCTACCACCTTCTGCCTATAAAAGTCTCATTTCATACAGCTCTTCAGAACTTCTATCTGCTAGATTCGATGCTGTCCAATTTATGAATTATTGAATAAAGCTAATAAGATCCTTAAAACTTACTCAGACTAATTTCAGTTTTTAACACATATGACCCTGCAATTCCACTCCTGTGTATATACCCAAGAGAAGTGAACGCATTTGTCCACATAAAATCCTGTATGTGAATGTTCATAGCAAGATTATTCATAAGAGCCAAAAAAGTAGAGAAAGCCCAAATAATCACCAACTAATAAATGTATAAATAAAAGATGGCATATCCCATATCAGGGAGCATTATTCTGCTATAAAAATAAATGAACTATTAATACGTGGGACAACATGAATGAAGCTTGAAAACATGATATGAAATTAAGAAAGCTAGTCACAAAAGGCCATATATTATATCATTCCATGTATATGAAATGTCCAGAGCAGAAAAATCCATAGAGACAGAAAGTAGATTGGTGGTTGCCAAGAGAAGCGGGGAGGGGAGATGGAGAGGTTACTGCTAATGGATATGGTGTTTCTTTTGGGGGTGATGAAAATATTCTAAAATAAGATGGTGCTGATGGTTATACAACTCTGTTGTGCACTATAAGATTGAATCATAGGTCAATGATTTATTAATAAAGCTGTTATTGAAAACCATTTCAAGGAGCACGTATGTCCTAACTTAGTGCCGAGCACATCGTAGACCCATCATAAATATTATTAAAGAAATGTGTAAATGAGTATTATATTTTCAAATAGTTTCCAATCTATTTCCTCAGCCTCTGAGTCTTGTAGTTGGTTGGGGGTGGGGGGATGGGGGGTACACCCACTGTAGTTATTTGGTGCTGAGGATCAGGGCGGATCCTGCTGGGGCAGGTCACTGCCCAGCCCCGAACCTCAACTAGATTTCTGTTTGCATTCCCAGCAGCTGAGCAGCCTGGAAAGCCACGCTTGGGCAGGAGAAAGGATTGTCTATGTTCCTTTGGTGTGGCAAGAGGCAGGCCTGGGGAACGCAGACTGTGGGATCTACAGGAGCATCCTGGCAGACGGTGAGGAAAAGGACAGAAGGACTGCCCTTCTGGTCTGGGAGACAGGGGACGGAGAAAACAGTGTGACGCCAGACAGCCATGAGCTCACTACCCCAGGGTGAGGGCGCAGGGAGCTTAGAAACATCCCTGGTGCTGAGGATCTC